TGTGCTCCAGCTTAGCACTGCTCAGTGACTCTAAGAAGCTGTTCAACCTGAAGGAAAGCAACTGCCTCTGTGACATCTATCTTGGGAGAAAAGTACAGTTGGATTGAAGAGCTAAGGTACTACTTCTTAACTTCCTTAAATAGAAAATTAAAGATTAAAAAACACACTGTTCTCTCTCTGAACTCTGCTTAGAACTAACTTGCTTGATGGTCTTCACTGTGATCTGAGTCAGAATGAATGGGCAGGTAAAGGGAAATAATAGAAACCTGTTGCTACAGAACTGGTAATCAAACTGATCAAATATGAAAAAAAAAACCCAAACAGAAATGGTTGTTTCAATGTTTGTGGGTGTGGCTAAAAGGTAGCAATATAGCTTAGAAGCAAAGTCCATTATGATAATTAAAAGATTAGAACTATAGATAAAACTTGAACAGTGAAACCAACTTTATTTTGGGAAAAGGTAGGTAGTTTCTGATGTATTATAGCTATATTGCAGCCAAGTGTAGAAATGTGGCAGTACTGTTTCTTGAATTCTTTCTCTTACTATAATGCTGAATACAACCCTTAATAAATCACTCTGTTCTAGATGGCAGGAAATAACATCTTTGAATATGGTGACTGGTGTAGGATTATCTGTAGTAATGGTAGACATATTAAAACTAGATTGGTATATAGTAAACATAGTGAATAGAGTAGATTTGGATCTAGGAAAAATAATCTAAGCTTTCTTCTTATCTGTAGAGTAATAGAATAACTGTGTCAATTGTTATGATTCAATCTCTGTAACAAATAATATATAGCACAATTATTTTACTGCAGGATGGAATATATCCTGCAGTAAACAGTTTGGGAGGCATGGACCCTATGTTTTGCTTGGTGTAGTAGATTTGTTTCAGATATAAAATGTAACTGGTTTCCACTGTCCAGTTCAGTTGGAAGAGCAGAGTTTAGCAGTACTGTAAGAGGTTTAATTTCTTTTTGGATGATGGATACTGAACCCTTCAACCAAGCTGTCTACATAAACAATACATTCTGAATTTTTACCTAGAGGGAACTCAATCTTAAACTTTGTTGCTTTTTTAAAAAAGCAAAGTTTAGAAGCAGGTAGGCAGACCTCCAAAAGGCAGGCCATATAATTCTTATTCTTCTGTTAGATCCTTCAGAGTTAAACTGTGGCCCATTCCAGCCTCTTAGGCTTTTTGGTTCAAGATACATTGTACTAAAATGCTTTTCTTTTTATCCTTTTCCCAGTTTCAAAATTGTGTTGCTTTCTCCTCTATGCTATATGTCTCCTTTGGTTATGACAGTATTTCCCCAGACAATGCACCATTTGGAGGAAATTATTAATCAGAGTTCAGTATGTTTGAATAGTTGCTTTAATGATTAAACTTGCATATTGTTGAAGATAATAGGAAGAGACTTTTTGTCCCATTAGTGTATTGATCAATGAAATTCAGTAATTAATTAATTAAATATCATGTGCAGCTTTACAATAGTTTTCATACTGTATCTTTGGAGTTGCTTAAGTGTCTTTTGCTCATTAATTTTTTAGCATTTTCACTGTTTTTCATCCAGAAAGAGTCCTGGAGCCACTTATAGAAAAGAAGACAACAGATATGTAGGCTTACAATCTAAAAGATAAGGTACAGCAGCACAAAGGGATGCAGAAAGAATGGTGCTGGGGCGAATTGGGGGCAACTCCGCTACTGAAAGTCAATCTGCCGGAAAGAGCTTGGGCAGAGGAACAGGTTTTTCAGCAGAAGGAGTGGTCAATGTAACTGGTTTTTCAACAGAGATTATAATACAATTTAATATTTCTTTCATTTATTTTACTACTAATCCAATTTGCTCTGAAATAGGAAAACAAATAATTCAGTGTTTGCAGCTTTGACCCTGTGTTTCGCAGACCTAGTTTAAATATAGCTCAGCAGAATTCCATTCAGAATTTTCTTAACATGCTTTTATACTTCAGCCAATCTTGGATTTTCCCCAGACTTGTGGACATTTCCTTTTTACAGATGGTGGGGCTTCTCTGACTAATGAAGGAGAGGCACTGATTGGAGAGGTTTGCTATTATTTATATAATGAGGCGAGGATAGATAAACAAAATGGGGCAAATAAGCAAGTGTCTGCATTGTTACTTCATGCAGTGAATTGCTGTTCTAATTAGCCAAGAAAAAAGGGCTTTATTGAGCCTGATGCCTTTTCACTGACAGGGAAGTCACCTGAGGACTCTGAGGTAAGTCCTACAGCAGGGGTGGTGATGTTTCAGTAGCTGGAGTAGGAACTTAAAAAACAAAAACAAATTCCCAAGGCCCACAGTAAGGGAAGAGATCAGTAATAATGTCACAGGAGGGATTTTTTGCCTGTTTTCCCTCCTAAGAGAGGCTTAAAGCAACTACTTCTTTTAGTTTCTAGCTGGAAATCAGTGGGCAATTATGGCACTGTTACTCAGTTGTTTGCTGGCAATCTTAAACTGCAGAATCTAGGGCTGCCAAATAGAGAGAATGGATGCACTGTATGGGACCTGGGTTTCCCACTGCTCTCTAAGAGGTGGCTGGTTGGAGACACAGAATGCTGGTGCTAAAGGTCCTGATACCACCACCCCAGAGCATCCTATTCAAGGCCTAACAGTAGATGCTGAATATAATCATTGTCTTCTAGGTTCAGGAGATTCAAGTACTGGACTTCAAAACTCATTTTGCAGCAACTGGATTTATTTAGTGCTAGATGAAAAACTGCCTGAAATGCAGCATATCTCACCTTAAAGTTGCTGAGAGAGAAATACATTCATAAATAAAATACAATAGAATAATAATTAGTGTTCATATGTTTTTAGATCTTTTCCTTTACTCCTCAATTCCTAATAGCCACACAGAACTGAAATCACATATTCTGAAGGTGGAAAGTTTCTGTTGACTCTCCATCTAGTATTTAGGTGGAGAAACATATATTATCTCTATCTAAATATTCAAACAAGAAACCCAGGTAAGATCTTACCTAGTTTATTAGGTAAATGCCACAGCAAACTGAAGTAAAAATGAACACACAAAGAAGAGATTGAAGTTTTTCTGCCCTGAATGAGGGATTGGACCCTCTGTCAAGACTACAAATGCCAAATCCCAATCCAGAAGAATTCTCATGAAACCAGGCCTGG